ATATCTCTCTGCCGTGTTGATTTTTTTTTGACTTCTATAAATATCTAGATTTTGATAAATTAAAAGTGACATTTATTAGAAGCAGTTTTGTCGAACTGCACGATCTTTTAGAGACGATAGGAAAAATGAAGAAGTTCGCGCGGGTTTGCATTCTCCTTGTGTAGCGAGTTGGGCAGTGTCAGAGCGAGTAGCGTCGGTTGCTGCCGAAGGCCGAGGAAACCAGCTCAAAAGCGGATTCACTTTTACACCGGTAACGAACAGTTCTTCGCATCGTACTGTGTGTACGCTGCGCCACAGCTGTGCGTTACCCTTGGCAGAAACACTGGCGTTTTCATGGCAAGTCTGTTAAAATGGCTTTACTCTCTGAGAAACACAAGCCTTTTCGATGGATTGAGATACTGAAATAGTGACAGGTATTTTTACAGTATTAAATGTATTTAATGTATTAAATTTGCTGTATTAAATGCTTCATTGGAAAAATAAAAATAATTATTTGATAGTCTCTGTGCAAGTCTGTACTTATATGGCCAGATGACCCTATTAATTTTTAGAAGAAAACAAGAAGGCAAGTTGGGAATAAAACTTCATAATTCAATATGAACTGGATACTGAACAGGTTTTCCTCTTTTGTAATATTGCATTTGTCTTTTACAGGGTAAACTTTTTGACTCTACAGTAACTGACGAAGGAACGTGGACATTAGGTAATCACCTGCATCTGAAATAACATTATGAGGGCAGTAGAACTTCTCAAAATATACTGCACAAGACTTTACCCCCTTGTTGTAATGGGGGAGTTTACTTTCTTCCCTGTACATAGCTTTGTGAAAAAGACAATCATTACTGCCAGATTAAGGAGCTGAGGTAGCACAAAAGCCCGAGAGATTAAGGTTAATGGAAAAATGCCGTATCTTGGAAGGTAGTAGTCAGCGGATTATAAACATTTCCATATAGTGAGAAGTTTTTTTGCAAACCTTTATTAAAGCTAGATAATTACAGTACAGTTATGTGGTCTGTTCCTCTCCAAAATTGTTACTTTTCTTGTTTTTCTCCTTTTCTTCTGCATTATATTTTTGGGATAGGTGATATCATATGCATTATATTTTTGGGATGGGTGACAAAACCTATTGTCCAGGGGAATCAAAAGCAGTCTAAAAAATCATAGTAAGGTACCTACAGATAATAAGCAAAAAAAGCTTCTCTGATCATAAATATTGTAACATGTTCAGAATGTTTTGGTTTTTTGCAATCATATTTGTGGAGTGTGCCTCTTACTTAATGTTTTTCTATGATGGATTTTGTTTTCCATTCAATATTTATTCTAAATATTGATTAATAATTTAGTAACCTAAACAGAAAACTAGAAGTGTGAACAAACATTGTGAAGTGAAGCCTATTCTTTTCCAGTATGCAAATAATCTTCAAAATACATTTTATAATGCTGTATTTATTCAATTAAGTAGAACTAAACATGCCATGTGTTAACTTCGAAATGTTCTTCCAGTATATTGTCTGTAGGCATACTGTCTGTGTTTAAATAGATCGATTATACCACCGTATGTCACTAAAACTTAGTTCTGGCTTTTATTGGTAATAACTCCCTGTAAAGCCTGACCTCACGTCCTTCATTATTGCCTTAGCTGAGTTGTATAGGTAATAGATTAAGTCTTTTCTCTGTTGTGAACCTCTGTAAAAGGTTAGTTTATGTTTGCAATAGAAGTACTTAGGAAATGTGTTTTAATCCCTTAAAACAGCTTCAGCATTTTACAGGCCAGAAAGGGGAGATATGGCTGTATAGGCTATCTTTGCTTCAGCCTTTCTGTCTCTTGTTAATGTTTATTTATTCATCAATAACCTTGTTGGCATTAAGAATTTAAATTACTTCACCAAAAAAATCCTGCAGTTGTTAATGGTGAATTCACTAAAAGAGCAAGAATGACTAGCACACAGGACTGAGTTTAATGGTTGTTTTATGTCTCTTTTCATTCAACAGAAGACAGGAAGCTGATACGAATTGTTCTAATGAAGACAAACCGAGATGCCGGAAATTGTTGGACGTCTCTGTTAGAAAATGAATATGCTGCTGATCCTTGGGTACAGGACCAGATGCAAAGGAAGCTTACACTGGAGCGATTCCAAAGAGAGGCAAGTTAAACGGCCGTAATTACTCCTTGTATTTTGTGTTTGCGCAGAGAGGTTATGGCTGTGAAAGCTGAGCAAAATTGTTCTGCTGTCCAGTGCCACGGAAACATGTACTGTAGTTCAATATATATAGACTGTTCACGAGGCTTTATCAATGTACTTTCAAGAGGTTATTCTGTCTGTAGTCTATCTGAAGGTTTTGTGAGTTTGAGGAGGGGTATTGCTGTTTCAGAATTGGTTGCGTAATCTAACAACTTTTCACTTAAGTTACGCTACGCACAATTTCTATTATTATCTAGAATTATGACATAGCCATATTTACAACAAACTTCTAACATCAAGCTCTATTGAATACGTTTGTTTAAAACATCAGGTGATATAGAATAGTTAGCGGGAAAATATTTTCCTTGCCCTTCTACTAATATTGTTTAAATTGTTTTGATGCACTTAGCGCACAACTATTCCTATGCATATCTGCAGAGTTGTGGAACTACAACTTACTACTGAACTGCTGAATCCGCACACTACATATTGCAATAAAGAACATCGTTTTTATGAAACTTATCCAGCATGGCACTTGTATTTTCAAACAGTAATTTCAAAGGACACCAGAAGCTGGAAATTTTTCTTAAACTTTTCTTAGTATTTCTTTACTGGGAGATCTAACTGCTTGCCAAATTGGGAACAGCATTACAAAGTCACTTCAGCAGTAGGTGTCCAAACTGTGACAATTCAAGGTTTAATTGTGGGTGCATTTTCCAAGAATTTCAGTGCCATGACAAATGGATGACAAGTTGATCATTACACGTCCTTGTTACAATGGCAGAATATTAACAGAAAGAGTTTTGGGCTTTTTCTGGGTTGTTGGGTAGTTTGATAGTTTTTTAAAAATTTTAATACCAATAATCTATCTATTAAACTTTTCTCTTACCTCCATCAGAACCCTGGATTTGACTTCAGTGGGGCAGAAATTTCTGGAAATTACAGCAAAGGGGGACCAGACTTTTCTAGTCTTGAGAAGTAAACTGTTTTTATCTGTGATCCTTGAGAGGACTTACAGATTACACTAAAGGACTGGAATCATGTAACTGGTGAAGACTTCAGTGATCTCTTCAGTGGATTGTTGTCAAGTCGTTACTTCAGTGAAGAGAAAGATCGCTTCCAGTAGAATGAAGACAAAGTGTTACCAGCTGATTTATGAGCTGCGATAACTTTCTAATACTAAGGGACAAACTATAGAGAAAGACGTACACAAAAAAGTAACATCTTTAAGCAGAATGTTAGGTTTGGGGTTTTTTTTTTTTTTGGAAACACCATAGTAATCTAGTCAGTTATAAATATACCACTTGTCTTCATGCAAGAATATCTTATTCACTGTTGAAGAACAGAAGTTATAAGCAAGATATTTAATATTTTCTCTTAACTTGCAATGGGAAGGCTATTAGGATGGCTACAGTTACACTTTTTTCCCTCTGTAGCAGCCCTCTGAGAACTCATAAATGTCATTCTAAAAAAGTGATTTAAATAAAGAAGCTACTGCATCTTGCCTCAAATAAGGTTTTACAATCCACTGTGCTGTCAAAAATAGCACTAATGATTAATACTTGCTACCAGGTAAGCGAGACTAGAAAACTGAAAGTTCAGGTAGGTGAAAGTCTGGATATAAATGATTTTATGTTAATGTTATATAGTCTTTCAGTATAAATATTGAAGACTGTGAAAGTAAGAGACTGTAATGGCTTTTGAAAAGAATAGGAAGTCCTGAAGTTGGAAATGGTATCTCACATCTATTCATTACCAACATATAGCACAAGTTGTTGATAATGTATCTAAGAAGCTATAGATTTTTGTAGATAGAGTTTTAAATTTAATAGCCACATTTTAAACTTGGCTGTTGCATGATAAAATATTTGCATGTGCCAATTATGTACCAGGAATTTTCTACTTATTGTTGAGGATGCAGCTAAGAAGCACTCCAGCCACAGCAATACACAGGATGAAGGCTGTGTTAGGCTAACAGAGGAAGAAAACATGACTGCCAAATCTTGTTGTATTCTAAGCACTGAAACTACTGCCTATACTTGAGTCCTAAGCAGAAGTCTCACTGGAGATAAATTGCCAGCAGCTGTCCACCATACTGCTGAGCCTTATTTCTAAAATTGCATCATTATTTCAGTTGGGATATGGCAAAAATAAAGCAATAGTTGAGGAAGAATGCTTGAAATAATCAAGTGTGCCCTTTCTACCCGTGTCATCCTTACAGAATGTAAAGGAAGTTCATACACTGTGCTTGGTGGTTTGGAGAACTTACCTTACTATAGAAGGGAAAGTAGTGTGGTATCAAACACTGATTTATGACGATGAAGTTTTCTATCTTTACCGTGATACTAGTATAGAAGGTGCATGGTATAGTTAAGAATGAACAAGACTGCTGCAAAAGTAACTGAAGATAGAGGGAAGATAGAGAAGAGTTAATGTTGCATCAAAGTGCTGAAGCATTAGCCAGTGAAATAGTATTTTTTGTTACTGCAGTTGGTTTGCACAGCACCATTTTGTATATCTTTTGCTTACAGCAGAAGTTTAGAATGGCATGTGACACTTCAGTGCATTAACTTACATTTACTATATGCACTTTCAAAACTAAACTTTATTCCCATATTTCCTGCTTTATGAATTAGCATAAGAATCATCCTACGGTTAAGTCCTAGACTGATGTCAAGGAAAGAGAACAACTGTGAACTATGTGTTCAGGCATCACGGCTCTGAATTGTTTCAAGAGGAAAGGTTTGAACTACTTGGTTAGCTAGTTCTGTAGTCTACTCTAAGTTACAGACCTCCAATTTTGGAAGAATCTAGGTGAAAATAAAGATATTGATGCTATGACTTACTTAGCATCTACTGAGTTTTCAGTCTGTAGTTTAACAAATGGTGGTTTGTGTTCCATCTCACAACAGTCTCAGTGGGATTCAGTCCCTTGCTTCTTAGAGAAACAGTAGCAGGTATTTGACAGATACCCAAATTTATGTATGTGATATAGTATCCAGAGGAACCCACTCTAAGAAATAGTCCTGTGCATTCATTTAGAGTGCTGCTGCGCTATGTAAATGAGCGGAAGACAGTCTACTGGCATTTTTTTTATGCATCTGGTTCAAGTTAACTGAGTGTAATGCCACAACATTGCTCTCTTTATCAAAAGGACCATAGCTGCTCTGAGTCAGTTAAGCACAGAAATGTGTATCTAAACTTACACGTAGTCAAACTCGGATGCTCAGATTGGTGCAAAAACTCAAATCTTGGGATTAGAAATCTTGAGTGCCAGATTCTCTTAAGCTCCATCCCTGTGTTTACTGCAATGTACAGAAACAGGTGGTATGTACTATTAGATAAATAATGGAAGAAGGTTGAAGTCAAATTTGAACAGTCTAAGCTACTTAAGACAGTCTTCCATCTTGATACTTTGACATCTCAAAAGATGTAGAGTAATTGTGGGCCAAGTTGAAATAATTTTAATCAAGCACCTTGAGTTTTTCCTGTTGGTTCTCTAGCCTTTCCGCTGCAGCCTCAACCTCTTAAAACAAAACAACAAATTGAAAAAAAATCTCCATAGTCTCTTACCTCCTGCCTGAAAGTTTTTTCAGGTACTGTTCAGATATGTCACTTTATAGGCTTCCTACTAAAATGTTTTATGACAAACAGGAAAAAAGTTACTCGGTTCGGCACATTTCAATCTTTAATTGAAAGGTACATATCTTAATATTGAGACGTGACAATTAGAATTGCACATTGCATCTTCTCCATCTCTCCCAGTAGGCTGACCTCATCTTTGTCTAAATCACTTGTATGTTTTTCACAGGCCAGCACAATGCATCGATCGCACTGGCAGATGCAAAACCCAATTACATGTTTTGCGGTGAAATCACTCCCATGACTTCATGAGAAGGCTTGATTTGTCCAGTATAGAGCTTTGGTATGAAGTCTTTGTGAAAGGTTTGACTAGTTTGAGATATGCAAAGAATGGTTTCCACTTCAGCTATTACTGTAAAGTGGGTTGGTTGGCTAACATCTAAGCCCACACTATATTCAGAACACTCTGCTCTCTTCTTCTCCACTAAGTCGGTTCATATGGCAATCAGTTTTTAACAGCCTATCGCTAACAGCCTCTGCTCCCCAGTGACGCGGAATTCAAGAGGTCATAAGCAACATTCCCCCAACACCTCTATTCATCTTACATACAATAACACATTCTTATTATTCACTTCTTTGTTAGCACCAGAAGCATGATATGCCTCAAGTACTGGCCTGGGCCTCAGAAACACAGTCATATTTTATGAACCTTACTGTTAAAGAGATCAGAGTAGAAGCAATCTTCAGTGTTTCTCAACTAGATTGCTCCTACATACAGACCAAGATGGGGCATAGCCCTGCTCCTACTGTGCCTGTAAAAATGCACCTGTTCAGCATCAGCATTTACCTCTTGTACAGTGAAACGTTGGAAAACTGATCTCAGGTTCAGGGCAGGTGACCCAGTACTTTCCCTCAGCCGTCATTCGGCATCATGAAGTTTTTACACTCTATGAATAATTTGCAACCTCGATAAACTACACCTCTTACAAAATACTGAAGTTACTGATGCTGTGTTAATGACTACCTTTTATAAGGCAATGAAATAAGGTTTCTCTTTTCTCCTGCTGTAGCTACTCGACATGTTCAGTGGGTATCACACAGCCTAGTTTTTAATGTGTCTATGGGAGAAGGCCAGTGCCCTGCCAGCAGGAAGATGTGGACACATGACACCTCCCAAACAGCAGGTCAGGTGGACTGACAGGCATTTGCTACTGTCATCAATATTGAGTGGGATTAGTCTTTAGCTTGAGACACTGCAGCACTGTGCTACTGCACACGATGTTTTCCCAGTGTCATGTAATCTTTGGAAAGTGAACTAGATTTTTCAAATTAAATATATCATTCAGCACCTGCAGTTACAGTAAACAAAGGTTAGACTACACAAGCTGCTCTACAGACTATAAGGTGTTAAAATTCCTTGTATCAGTATTGTGGTATTTCACTGGACAGTAAACAGTCTATCTAATAAGACTGAAAACTGACACTGAATATTGTTGTAATCATCACGAAAAGAACATATTTGCTGGAAGGATCTTTAGTCTGAAATGTTACATATTCTTTCCATGAGTTGAATTCTTCATTATTAAGATGATGTTTCAGATTTTCTCAAATATTCACGCGTCTTTGACAAGGTCACAGGATGGTTCTCTCCTCATTTTATTGTACTCCTGTAAAAAAAAAAAAACAACAGTCAACTGAAGGGCTTTCTAGAAGAGCCAGATAAAGCATCAGACTTTAATGTAGCAAGACAACAGCAAGACAGCTGTTACAGAAAAGATGTAGCCTTTGGAATTAAAAGTCTAGATAAGGAAGTAGTTCACAATTTCTAGAGTAAAAGAACATTTATAACTGAATTAAGGAGTTTAGACTTTTCTAAACAGATCGTTATACAAGTAAAACTCTATAAAACTCTCTTCCTTTTAAGTGATTTAAGTGAACCATTACAAGAAACTCATTCTAATAGGCAACTGTTTCTTCTTAGACGATTCTTTTTAGGATAGGAACAAGCAAAGTTTATTCTCTGCCTTTTTACCAGTTTTACTCCACATTTAAGTCTGAATGAAGTCCCAATGTCTGTAGAACACATTTCTGCTCCCACAGCACACTAGAGGATCAGTTCTTTCTCCAACGTTCATATATTAGGTTGCCACTTCTTTAGGTACAGCACTGGCTCAAGCATGAACGTGAGAATAGGCCAGCTTCTATGACAGGCCTACTATGTTTATGTTACATGTCTCCAAGAGGTTACCTACACAAAATAAGAAACTTTGAGGTAGTGTACAGCTAATTACTTCTACATTATCAGAAGTTGATTTTACAAGGATTTACCTGTTACGAGCTGGTCTCTGGAATTGTAGGAAGGTGTGTTATTCTGTAGTAGCTATGTTTAAGCTGCCGTGCTGTACGTCCAGACACAATCCATTTTAATTTCTGGACATTTGGTTTGGAACACTTGCTGGAGGAATATTCTGTAAGGCACTTTAACACCAGTTCCTTCCAGAAGGTCAAATCTCTGTTGTTTATCTAAATAGCAAGACAGAATCTCAATAACTTATTAAATCCTTATTTCATACATGTACTTCCAGTTTCTTCACAGAAGACAGGAAGCCAGAGATCCCAAGCCAAATGGAAAAAAAACAAAAAACCCCCCA